ACTCTTTCTATACTAGTATCCTGTTTTTACTAAACTAGAATTGTTCCAGTTTGTGCTTAGCCTAGAAGTTTGGGGTCATGCCCTTTGACTTCCTCATAGTTTCAGCTGTGTACGTGACCTGCACTCTTACACATAATGGCGATTGACTTTGTTCTGTTCCCCTTCACCAGCAGGGCCAACAATACGCTGGCATGCATCAATTGATGCATCTCCAGCAAAACCAGCAAAACCATTGCAAAGAAGTGATTCTCCTGCTCTACTCTGCTCTTCTCAGCACTGGTGAGACCGCAACTGGAGTACTTCATTCAGTTGTGGGCTCTCCACCTTAACAAGGATGTTGTAAAGCTTGAGAGAGTGCAGAGAAGGGCTGCCCATATGATCAGAGACTTGCACAGTGAGCCCTACAAGGAAAGGCTGAGGGACCTGGGACTATTCAGCCTGAAAAAGAGAAGGCTGAGAGGGGACTTGGTAGCAGCTTACCGCTACATCACAAGAGTACATCTAGGGCTCGGTGAACAACTATTCACCAGGGCATCCTTGATGAACACTAGGAGTAATGGTCACAGTCTGGACACCATTTTTGAGAAGTAGTTTTTCCTAATGTTGAGCCTGAAATGAGTCTGAAGCAATCCTGCAATTGATACGTGCCAGCGCATTGTTGGCCCTGCTGGCTAGGGCTGTGCGAGGCTTCGGACTGTGCTTCGCATCCGGAGAAGGTTCAACGTCCAAAACAGCATGTCTAGATCAAAAAAACTGGCTTTGTTAGGCTTTCCAAAGAAGTTCGGAGCTTCCAAACTACTGCAGAAAAGCTTCGGAGCCACCAGAGGGAATCTCCACCTGCCTCTGGATGATACTTGTGAGTAAGCTACTTGAGATCTAATTAGATATATAGCTTGCAGTAACACAGGTGCATGATCAAAGGCTACCCAGCCATGCCAGTTTGCTCTATGGGATTTCTCTGATATTGCTCTACCCTGTACTCTATTCCAACCCTACCCCTTGTAACCAATCAAGTTCTCCTTTGTACCCAGTGTGGGAGATTTATTGGGAGTGCGTCTATATTATGCCATGGGGTCCCCTTGGTTCAGCTGACTAAGGGAGACCACTACTTGTGCTTCTGACTGAGGAAAGCATCCCAAGTTCTTGAAGTGAATCAAGTACCCTCGAGAGCCTGTGTTTCCCAGGATACACAGAGCCAGAATCAAGCCCAACCCTGGGTGGTGGCAGTAGAAACCCCAGGCTAGTGGGTATGCTCCAGGAAGCGGGTCGGCCAGACATGAGGTGCCCCCAGGGAGGCACTCGGACCCTGGAAGGTGGTTGGGCACAGTGAGGTGATTGGCTCAACATGGGACCGCCCCCTACTGGCCCACCACAGCATCAATGAGATGATCCATGGTGAATCCTATGACAATCAGGAAAAGAGAACATCTAAATAGCTTGGTGCTACTTTTTCACCTGCACCCTCCAGTTCCTGCAGTTTTGATAAATGCTGTGTACATAGAGGCATTGTGATAGGAGAAATGACTGAGCCAGTCCCTGGTTATTCCCACAAGGGCATTTGTATACTTTACTCCCATTGGTGGAAATGAACCATCAAATGGGGCTGCAGCTCAAGACTGAAGACCTATGGAAAAGCTTGGGTGGAACTGCTCGGGTCAGGAATTGCTGGAGCTGAAAACCGAGGTATGCATACAGCAGAATGAAAGAAGGCTGTGTGAGGAAGTGAATAAAGTCAGGGTACCGATAGATAGGGAGGCAAAATCACGTAAGCAAGGGGGTGGGAAATATGACAATAGGCAATGGCTCTACGAACACTTCAGGTGTGCAATAAAGATCAGGGGAAATGTGGATTTTTTTTAAGTGGTGAGGAGGGTCAGGGAAAGGAGAGGAGGCAAGGGCCTGTGAGCAGATTGCCCTGCAAGTGCCTTTTTAAGGGGACATCTGCACAACTCCCACCCAGTAGTTTTGTGTGACTCCTAACTGGCACCTTGGCTACAAGTCCTTTATAGTAGGGGTTTTCAACCTGTTTTAATGCATGTAGCCCCTGTGACTGGACATGGAGCGGGGGTGGGGGTTGCCGTGTGGCTGGACATGGAGTTTGCTGCTGCAGGGGTGCCGAGGCCAGGGCAGGTGGGTGGGAGTGGGGACAGGCGACCTCTTATTACCCTTCACTGCCTTGTGCTCTGGGTGCTGGTACCTGCAACATGCATCCATCAATCTCAAAGCTCTTAGACTCCAGAAAGAAGCTACTCTTCCCTTGGCTGGAGCTGGACCTCAGTATTGAAGTCTCCATTGAGCAGCCTGACTGGTCATATTCGGTGTAGGAAAAATTGCCCTGGTCATCCTTTAGCACTGTTCTTTGTGTCAGCTTTGCAAGAAATATTTAAACCTTATTCATAGCCCTTATCAGGCTCTCCCTGGCATGACCAGATCCAGTAATCAAGTGTGGTATACCCCACATTGGAATTGGATGGCACAGAGCTCATCCACCATGCTGTCAGACAGATTAATGGCCTCGGCCACAGCCGGCTCTGTGTTTTGTGTTACATGAGTGTCTGCTCACAGTCCAAGTCCACCAGAACAGCAGCCGGATGCATCTCTGCTATCATTATGGTGGTTACTTGAGATGGGTCATTCTGCTCCAGAGTGATGCCTTTCATGTCATATTGATCTGACAATAATTGACAGTAACCAGAGAGGGAGGAGGCCCAGGGAAGTGACATCTCCGAGCAAGATAGCTGATGGACTTCATGAGAGAAACAGCAACTCTGAACTTAATAACAAAAAGGTTTTATTTATAAAAGATTAAATTGATGATAAAGAATAAAACCCGGAAAATGCCTGGAGAGCCTGAGAAGTACAAAATGAAAAGGCATGTTACAGCCCCTTCCTTGGTAACATTTAGAGATCTTGACCAGTACTAAAATCCCTGTTCAAAAAGTCAGTCACAATATCTCCAGGTGGGCTTGCCCATTTGGCTACAATCACCTAGTGTGTATTTTGGACAGAAGGCTGCTGATCATACAGCATTTACACTCCCACGGGATATTATCTCAGCACAAATCCATTCTTAGGGTGATGACACAGAGATGCCGTCTTCAACATCATCATAACCCGTGTCTCCAGGAAGAAGGGCTGGGTCATCTTCCAGAGACTCAAAGGTTCCTTCACTTTTAAGCCAAGGCATGCTCCATTCTGAAAAATATCAACAGAAACAAATTACAGAGAATATGTTTTAATATGAGCCTACACACATTCATATAACCTGTGTGCGGCCTATAGCCTGCGCTGCCACTGGTCTCCCATCTCTTCTTGTAAATGATCCCAGACCAGTTTCCATTCTTACTCTCTATGCTCCCAAGGCCTACGCTTACATTCTTTGCAGCACAGATGCTCAGATTCAGGATGAGGATCAGAGAATTCCTGACATCTTTTGGGCAATGCAGGAGACTCCTCTGGGCATTGGAGGATCAGGGCTTGAGTCCATCAGGAGGAAGAGGACCTGGGACACAACGCTCAGAGTTTCTCTGGGAGTGCTCTAAATACCAGACAGCTATTAACCAGTTGGGTGGCAGTGGCATTAGGTCCTTGCCTTCCTCAAAACAGGAACTGGGGTTCAGAAGCACACCTGGTCAGGGATAGCTCTAAGGATGGATGGAAGTGAAGAACACTCTTACTCTCATCAATTGCTGTTGACTTGAGTACTGACTTTGGTGAGACACCCTTTGGAGGCTCCTAATTCCCTTCAGGGACTGTGTGGGAAGCCTAGGCACTGATCTCAGTTCATCTGAATTCCAGGCACCCAGTTATTAATCAGAACAAGGCATTAAATGGAGCTGTCAAAGGGGATAATTTGGATTTGATTTTTATAGTTCTCTCTTATTCCAAGGTTTTACATTGGCATCAGCAAGCCATTTTAGCCTGGAGGCACCCAGGGAGGTAGGTTCTTCTCAGCTGATGGCAGTGTTTCTCAGCATGAAGCCTTGCATCTCTTCACTCCAGGCACCTATTCTTTGCCAGAGTTTCATTCCTTGCGGGTGAGGGGGTCTTCAACAGCTGTCTGTGATTCTACGCACATGGGCAAGATGCTTTGAGGAGCCTATGATTCTGATAAAAAGACTGCAACTCACTCCCACATTGTCAAAAATATTCTACAAAGAAAGTTGTGGGAGCAGATCGGCTCCTGTGCTGTGATCTGCTGGGTTCAAGAGAGGTGTCAGGAACTAAGAGGTTCACTTCCTTCTTCTCAATGACAGGGTCACATTGTCTTATGACAATGTCTGTAGCCCTAGGGAGTCATAATGCCTGAAGGACACCGAAGGGCTCCCTTCACCACAATATATCTCAAGAGCAAGGACCTATAGAGCAGAAGACATTGCAAGTTTCACACAATGCAGATTCACAGTTTATTCTCATTTAGTTCACAGAACCATATAATCCATCCCTAGACAATTCCCTGCAGGTTGTAAGGCAGTATCTTAGCACTTGGAAGAAGAGTTCAAGGGGCTCTAATGACAGGTACTTAAATGCCTCATGTCATCCTCTCTCAGGGTAGCTACTTTAGCTTTTTGCCTTAACTTTTTCCAACCTTTGGTTTCTGTATTTGAGCCCTGAAGTTAACCCTGTTTTATGTCCTGAAGTTTCCTCCTGCAGTAAGAAGGACTAGAAAGCTGGCTGATCTTTAAAAGGGAAACAGCATTTTTCTTGTAATCATTTTCCTCCAGGAGCCACAGATGCAAGCAGACCTACGCAGGCTGGCATGTTGGGCAGAATGAAGCCAAATGAGTTTCAACACAGAGAAATGCAAAGTGCTGCATCTGGGAAGGAAGAACCCCCAGCACACCTACAGCCTGGGCATGGCTAACCTGGACAGCACTGCAAATGAAAGGGATCTGGGGGTAACAACAGACCCCAGCATGAATACGAGCTGGCAATGCAATGCAGTAGCCACTAGGGCCAATAAAACTTTGGCATGCATTAATCAATGCATCTCCAGTAAATCCAAAGTGATTCTCCCACTTGACTCAACATTGGTGCAGCCACACCTGGAGTATTGCATCCGGACCTGTGCCCCGCACTACAACAAGTATATGGTAAAGTTCAAGAGAGACCAGAGAAGTGCCACTCGCACGATCAGGGACTTGCGTGGCAAGCCATATGAGGAGAGGCTGAGGGATCTTGGACTCTTCACACTGGACGGTCACCTGGCTGGGGTCATCTTAGCCCAGATGTTTTTCCTGCTCGTGCAGGGGGCTGGACCTGGACCTGTGCCCCGCACTACAACAAGTATATGGTAAAGTTCAAGAGAGACCAGAGAAGTGCCACTCGCACGATCAGGGACTTGCGTGGCAAGCCATATGAGGAGAGGCTGAGGGATCTTGGACTCTTCACACTGGACGGTCACCTGGCTGGGGTCATCTTAGCCCAGATGTTTTTCCTGCTCGTGCAGGGGGCTGGACCTGATGACCCTTCGGGTTCCCTTCCAGCCCTGTGATTCTACGATTCTAAGTGATGATATTATGCACACTGGACACACTGCCCTTCCCTCTCACCTGTCTGTGAGTCCCCGTAGGTCTGTAAGTTCTCCTCTCTTTCTGCTGGGACACCAGTGAGGCCAGAAACAGGAAAATGTGGAAGACCAGGAACTTCTGCAGCTTCATCATAACCATCTTCAGTGACATCTCCTGCCAGGGGAAGGGCCTCTGCAACAGAGGATGGAATTACAGGACATGAGAGCTCCTCTACTGAAGACAGAAATACATGACCTGAAAGGGAAAAAAAGCTGAGGGGCTTCCACTACCCAGAGCCATGAGGCAATGAGAGACCACAGCATCCACCACAAACCCGGTGTCACAGGATTGTCACATAGGTCAAAGTCAGAAGCACATTTCAAAGTATGGATGTGCTGTTATGCTGTAGGAAAGAGCCAAACGCAGCAGCTGTGCTGGCTTGTGTGAGGTAGCTGTGGGGGATCAAAATGAGGAGGTCAAGCCTGAGGACGAAATTCTCAGTGCACATTGAGCGTAAGTTTATTAATCTTTGTGCACTAACTGCACAGTGCTTCTACAGTGCTCCTTTAAAAGCAGAGAGTGCCTGTAGATGCATGCTTCTCCAACATGCCATAATTAATTAAGTCTGCTGGAACATGTTAATTAGTGTGTTCCAGCAGCCCCTGCGACTCATGTATTCAGTGCCCCTCTGCTGCAAAATGCTGGCGGGGTGTTTTAACTAAAGCTCATCAAACAAGCTTTAGTTAAGCAGCACCACCACCATTTTGAAGCGTGCGATGCTGAATACACAAGACAAGCCATTGTAGGCACCTTAATTAGGGAGGCTATTGGGGCTGCTGTAATTAAAGTGCTCCCACCCAGCCCAGAGCACGTGTAAAGATGCACTGAGTTACTAGCATTATTTGGAAAAAAGGAGTGAAGGGCATCACAGGGAGAATTCTCCCCAGAAGAAATCATTTGTGGGTGAAGGGAGAAGGGGGAGGGTGTTAAATCCAGGTCCTCTGGCAACTCAGAAATTGTCCGGAAAGTAACAAGGTCTTTTTGAAATGTTGTTTCTTAGGCTGTGTGAAATTTCGCCGGCAGTTTCTTTTCAACTCTGTCTCAAATCGTTTCCAGCTCGAAACAGCAAAATCAAAATGAAACAATTTCTTAGGCTGTGTGAAATTTCGCCGGCAGTTTCTTTTCAACTCTGTCTCAAATCGTTTCCAGCTCGAAACAGCAAAATCAAAATGAAACAAAGAGCTTTGAAACGGCCTCGAAATGAAACAGTCAAATCAAAACATTTCAAAATTTTTAAAACCTTTTGCGTTTCAAAGCTCAAGCTGGGTTTGCCTCTAGGGAAACAGAAACTAATGTAAAGAGAGGGAGTGGGAAGAGTGGGGAAGGCAGGGAAGGAGTGTTCTCATTATTGACTGTGTAGTTGGCCAGTGAGCGTCATCCTTCCCTGAGGTCCCTTCCAATCCCAGTCCTCTGGGGGAGGATTGCAAAAACTAAATAAAAGGCAGTTTGAACTGAACTGCCCTGATTTCTGCCTTGGTGCCAGTTAGTGAGCTGTGTGTTCCAGCAGCTCAGCATCAGATAAGAACGGCTAGCAGCACTGATCTTCTAAAGGATTTCATACTTGCTAGCAAGAGGGATTTCGGATTTAGAATACCTTTTTCTTTGAAGCGCTTTCATTTTATTATATTCACTGATTCATTCTTTTGAATTCTATAATTATATTGGATAGAATTACTGGAGAGTTTAATGTATATAGGAAACAAAATACATTTATATTTTATTTCTATACATTGAAAGCTTTATACATTATAAAATTTATAAAGGGACAAAGCCATATTTCTGTTTGCTTTTATACATTTTTTATTTGCACTACACACCTACCTACACTCTTGCACCCACACTTTTAAATTTATACAAGGGCTAAGCCATATATTTGCCATTTAACATTTCTTATTTGCATCTCACACACACCTAATAGTACCACCAACAACCTTGCACCCACAGTTTTCAAGTTATACAGGGGCTAAGCCATATACTTGCCATTTAACATTTCTTACTTTCATCAGACACCTCCATTTTTTTTTTTTAATTTATATAGGAATGTGAATAAATTTATATATCTGTACTAAAGGAAGACATGAAACACAGCATGAAGCGTGGTGGAAAGGCAGGTGGCCACACTGACTAACCTTCAAGGAGGAGCGGAAGAGTGGGTAGTGGGAGAGGTGTAAGTTCCACCCTGCCACCAAACTGAGATGCAGCCTCTTTCCTCCAGGTAAAAGGGATGAGGCTGCTACAAGCAGCAAGGAGAGGGAAGCAGTGCCACTGCCACTGCCTGTGACCAAGACTGCATCCCCTCCATGTGACCCAGCCATAACCCCCACCCACACTACCATCATGGCAACAACAAGCAGCACCACCAGTACCAGCACCGGCACCAGCACCAGCACAGCAGCCTACTCTACCCCAATTTCGCTTCCCATGCTGAGCCTTCCGGTGCCAGAGAAGGAGCTGGTGCTAGAGCTGGATCTCAGTGCACTAGCAAGGGAAATTTTGGGGAAGGGGGGGGGGGGGAATCAGCTGAGTTTCTGCTTGACATGCCTCAAGATTCCCCAAGATCCAGGTCTCCTTCCCCAGAAGGCACTTTGGAGGAGGTTGATGTACAGGTGGAGTCAAGCAGCTCAGCTGAGTCTGTTCCTTCTCTTGCTCTGCCTCTGCCTGCTGAGGAGGAAATTGCAGCACCATCCACAGATGCACCCACACCCCAGAAGCGAGTGGGTAGTGTGGTCTGGGATTACTTTGGGGTGGTAGATGATCCCACACATGCTATCTGCCTGCACTGCCGAGCCAAAACCAGCCGGGGCAAGGGAACAAATCATATGAGCACCACTGGGATGCTGATGCAACTCTGCAGGCATCAACCCCTTCCCCTTGATCCTTCTCAGCCTGGCACCACTGGGAGTGTGCCCAAAGCAAACCCCCTCTCGATATAAAGCCCCCATCCCCCTAAAACAGAGGCAGATCACCCTGGAACAGTGGGAGAAAGGCAGACAGAAAGCGGGGCATGTTCCAAAGGTGAGCGATATCATCCAGAGCACTGGGGAGATGCTTGCTGTCGATGGCCAGCCATTCTCCCTAGTTGAGCAGCCAGGGTTCAGGTGGCTCATGGTACTTGTGGACCCATCATACCAACTGCCTGCATGCAGCACTTTCAGTAGGATTGTGGTGCCATCTCTGTATGAGTTATGCATGGAGTACTTGAGGGAGAAGCTGCACAAGAAAGGTCCACAGTTTGCCTTACACTTCACCTTGACCATCTGGAGCAGCCACAGTGGACATCATGCCTACCTCTCCCTCACAGGGCAGTGGTGTGACCAGTCAGGCCATCGGTGGACTCTCCTTCAAGCTGAGGTGATGGATGAGTCCCACACAGCAACAGAGATAATCGGGACCATGAACCGCTTGGTGCAGGGGTGGCTTGCTGAGCAGGGCAAGCTCACACACAGGTTCATGGTCACCGACAATGGGACCAATGTGATTCATAGACATTAGGGCTGGAAGGGACCCGGGAAGATAATCAAGTCCAGTACCCTGCCCAAGGGCAGGAAGTCAGCAGGGATCACAGGATCCCAACAACATAAACATCCAAATGTGTCTTGAAGGCGCTCAAACTAGGTTCTTGAACCACCTCCGGTGTCAGTCTATTCTAAACCTTGGGGTCTTGGACAGTAAAGAAGTTCTTCCTTATGTCCAGCCTGAAATAGTCATGGAGGAGTTTGACCGTTTAACTTTGTCATCTCTTGGGGAGCTCTGATGAACAGACGTTCCCCCAGATCCTGGTGAGCACCCCTGATATACTTATAGGTGGTAACCAGATCACCCTTGAGCCTGCGCTTTTCCAGGCTGAAGAGCCCCATGGCTCTCAGCCTCTCATCATCAGGTCTGTTTTCCTTCCTGACATCTGATCATGCACGTGGCTCTCCTCTGCACTCTCTCAAGCTTCTCCACATCCTTTTTGAATTGTGGAGCCCAAAAGTTGATGCAGTACTCCAGCTGTGGTCTCACCAGGGCCAAGTACAATGGGAGAACAACATCCTGGAATTTTCTTGAGAAGCATCTATGGATGCAGGACAGCATTTTGCTCACTTTACTAGCCGCAGCACCACATTGAAGGCTTATATTCATCTTGTGGTCAGTCATGACTACCAAGTCCCTTTTGTTCATAGTGCCACCGTTTAGCACTGTCAAGCCTATAAGGATTCTGCAGGTTTTCCCTCCTGAGGTGGAGAACCTTACGTTTTTCAGTATTAAACACCATCAGGTTCTCATCCACCCACTTTCTGAGCCTGTCAAGGTCTGCCTGGATCAGCCTTCTGTCCTCAGGTGTGGATGCTTTACCCCAGAGTTTGGTGTCGTCGGCAAACATGGCCATTCCACTCCTGACACCAATGTCTACATCATTAATGAAGATGTTAAATAGTATAGGCCCTAGGACAGAGCCTTGAGGGACCCCACTGGTCACAGTGCACCATGATGATTGACTTCCATCAACCATCATCCTCTGGGTCTTACCGCGCAGCCAATTTCCCAGCCAGTGGATTGTGATGAGGTCAAGGCCGCAGTTAGCCAGTTTTGCCAAGAGGTGATCATGGCACACCAGATCAAAGGCTTTTTTAAAGTCAAGATATATGACATCAATCTCTTCTTCCTTGTTCAGGTGATAGGTCACCTGGTTGTAAAAGGAAATGAGATTGGTCAAGCAAGACCTACTCACAACAAACCCGTGCTGGGTATGCCTCAGGATATTGCCGTCAGCTAGGCTGTTAAGGATGGCCTCTTTGATAATCTTTTCCAAGATCTTCCCTAGGATAGGGGGTCAGGCTGATGGACCTGTAGTTTGCTGGATCCATTTTCCTCCGTTTCTTGAAGTTAGGCACCACACTGGCCTTCTTCCAATCTTCGGGCACCTCACCAGAGCGCCAGGAGCTCTCAAAGATCTGTGCCAGAGCTGGGCTATGATGCTTGCCACCTCCTGGAGTACCCTTGGGTATAAACTATCAGGGCCAGCTGACTTGAAGATATCCACCCTCTCACGGTGTTCCTTCATGAGGTTAGCTTTGATGGAGGGTAGGGAATCTCTCTCACCTGGGCCTCCCTTTCCCATTGTGGGCAGGGGCATCCCATGGGACTGATGAAAAACTGACACAAAGTAACCCATTTAGCAAGTTTGTTTTTTTCCTGGGCATCAGTTGTCAGGTGTCTCATCTGGTTTAGCAAGGTCCAATGTTGCCCTTGCTTTTCCTCTGGCTCCCCACATATCTAAAGATGGAGTTTTTATTATCCTATTTGTAGCTAGCGGGAGTTCTGTTACAGCCTTGGCTTTCCTGGTTTGCTTTCTGCAGGTCCAACCAGTGCAGCGTATTCCTCCTTGGTGGTGGATCCAGCCCTCCATCCTTTGTACGTCCTTCTTTCAAGATGCAGGAGGCCCACTAGTTCCCTGGAGAGTAAAAGGGCCGCTGTGCCCTTTTGCTACCTTTCCTCAGAGACAGGAGATTTTGCTTGCGCATCCAGGATTGCTCTCTTGACGAACAACCACTCGTCCTGGACTCCCATCCTCTTTGGGTTGTGGCCCTTTAGGGCTTCACTGACAAGCCTCCTTAGCTTGTCGAAGTCATCTTTCCTGAAGTCAAGGACTTCTGTATTACTGACTGACTTACCAGCTTTACGGCAGATGGTGAAGGTGATCAGCTAATGGTCATGGTCTCCCAGCTTCTCTTCAATTGTTAGGTTGCTGATTAGGTCGTCCCCGGTTGCCAGTACCAAGTTGAGCAGCGCTTTACCTCTCATTGACCCATAGACTTCCTGCATCAGATAGAGTTTGTCCATGCAGGAGAGAAAGTTTTGCAACCGCTTTGATTTGGCCGAGCACTCTTCCCATGAGATGTCAGGGTAGTTGAAGTCCCCCATGACAACCATGCATGGCCCAGTCATGGGCGCAGTCCCACCATGTCTCCATTAACCCTATGACATCATAATTATTTGTGTTAACCAGGAGGACAAGTTCCTCCTCTTTATTCCCCAAGCTCCCGGCTTTTGTATATAGGCATGCAAGTGTCCCTTTGGGGGCCTTTGCCTTGCCTACAGTATGTTCCAGGGCTGAGGCAAGGGTGGTATCCTTTAAGTGACTTAGCCTGCTGACTTTGTATGGGTTGCTCAGTGGGCAAGCAGTGGCAGTAGTCCTCCCCCCCCCCCCCCCCCCCGCGCCCCTGCTTTAGTACACCACACGAGCGCAGTCTGGCTGAGAACAGCCTCCTCCCCAGCAGAGAGAGGTGGAGGCCTTCTCTTCTCAGCAGCTCGCTGCCTCTCTCACCAAAGAGCGGACTGTGGTCATGGAAGCCAAAGCCTTCCTAATAACGCCAGCACCGCAGTCTTTGGTTCACTACCCACATCCTCCTCTCCCTCCTCAGCCTGTAGCCTGAGACTCGGAGGATCGATGAGAACACCACCTGTGCCCCCAACCCCTTAAGCCCCACTCCCAAATCCCTCTAGCTCTTCATGACCTGGCTGGGCGCTCTCCAAGCTGTGTCATTTGTGCCCACATGGATAAGTTTAGGGTCCCACAATATGATCCAGGCGGTCCAGACTTGGTGGAACTCCACATACCTGATGCTCGAGAGGCTGGTGGAGCAACAGAAGGTCATCCATGAGATGGCCTTGCTTGAGGAGATCGGGATCAGTGCCCCCTGAACAGAGCTGAGTGGGGTACTGTCTCCCAGATTGTGGTGGTCCTCAAGTCCTTCCTTGAGGCCAGTGAGAGCCTCAGTGCTGCTGATGCCCTCCTTAGCCAGGTGATTCCCATAGTGAGGGAATTTCAGAGCCAAATGGAGAGCTTCCAGGGGATCAATGTTCCTGGCTGGGGCAAGCCACTTTCACCAGACATGTAGGCACTGGTGAGATGGCTAAAGGAGGGCATCAGGAAACAGCTTGATCCCTTCTGGTCCAGGACAGTCCATGTGCTGGCCGCCATGTATGACCCAAGGGTGAAGGGCACTGTATTCAGCAGCCAAAGGCTGAATCAGTGGATGGAGGTGCTAGTAAAAAAAAACAGGGAGGCAGAATGCCGGAGGTGGGGGGACGTGGAACATGGGGATCCAGTGTCCCATTCTAGCATTCCATCCACCAGACAGTCTTGTCCTCCACCACAGGCACTGCCAATATGGGGTAAGGGCATGGTTTCTATGGTGGGGTCCATAGACACCAGACCCCACCATCAGGCAGGCTTTGTGGCCTCAGCAGGAGCTAGTATGGCTGGAGGTTTGACCCTGCCGTGGCTTTACCACACACACACACACACACACACACACACACACACACACCCTCAGTTTTGCATTCAAGATTTTGAGGTACACTTTCGCCGAAACTCCTGCACTTATCTCCTTGAATCTTGGCAGGCTTCATGCCCTCAGAAGAGGCTGCCATTCCTGCAAGTTTCATCCAAAGAAGGCCAGAAATGACAAAGGTATAGGCTGTTTCATGCTTCCCCATTATAGCCTATGGGTGAAAAATCAAAACAACGTCGAAACAGAGAAACTATTTTGACAAAACAAAATGGAACAGCGGTTGAGTCAAAACAAAATTTGAAATGAAATGCAGTTCTGTCTAAACGTCATAAAGCAAGTCAAAATGGAACGGTGCCGTTTCGCACAGCCCGACAGTGGATAACATGATGTATAGTGATTTGTGCTCCATTGGGATCTAGGGTCCAAGCTAGAACTCAGGACTGGCTTTTTTCCAGTGGCTTGTGTGTCACCTAACCATGGCTTTTTTCACTTTAGTCTTCCATCCTGGTCCTCCATATGTCCCCCTCTTGGTATCCAGGGGTCCAGCTTCAAAAGGAGGGCTGGAGATGGATTGCGATTATGTCTAACCTGTGGGTGAGGGGTTAGAGCCATGCTTCTTGAACTTGGGGTGATGCAAGTTCAAAGGCCCTGGACTGGAGGCTCAGACTCAGATCTGATCTCTCCAAAGTGATAGCCTAAATAATTTGCTTCTTGGGGCTAAGATATGGAGGAGTTCTCCTCCTCCTCAATTCCAAACCCACTACTTATGGGCTTCATTTTGTGACTTACGCATGTAGACTGGCTGTGTGCACATAGCCATGGAACTGACTCCTGTATAACTTACTGAGCCTACATGACACTTTGTCATATGCTTATAGGTCCATACTGCACAGGTAATGGTCGGTAACAGAATCCCAGTGCACAGGCACCAAAAAGGCCAGTTTCACAGTTGGAAAACTGTCATTATGTGCACACGGGGAATGTAATTCCAGCCTTCCTGTGCCTCAGTTACACATACGGGACTTTCATTTGTTCTATTTATCACCTGCTTCTTCAATTTTCCATCGTTTTTTTAGCAGCTCATTGTGGTGCTTTCCCAAGAATGGACTGGCTCATTACCCATTCCAGATGCTCCTGGGACACCTGGCTGCCCAGGGCCAGGCTGACACACTGCCATTGACCCAAGTCAGTGACTCTGTGGTACCAAGTGCAGTTACTTCCCCAGATGACCTGACTCTTTCCTGTGCCAGTGCACAGTCACACACATGTCCCTGTCCTGTCCCAGTGCAGCACGTGCTTCTCTGCTTCTTCACCTGCCCCAGTCAGCTTAGGAAAGAAAAAGCTGAAAAACCTCCTACAGCTAAACAGCTATAGGTAGTCATTTCCCATCATGTAGGGCTTATCTATACTGTGGAAGGAGTGTGTCAGGGCTCTGGGGGGACTCAAGTACATCACAACCTTTCTCTGAGCCAGCTTACTCCTCATGCATGCACTAGGTATGAAGTTTCACCATTGAAGCTGGTCCAGACTCTTTCCAAAGGCCTGCTGGAGGGCAAGGGCTTGGAAATAGGTACCAAAGGATGAGCGTGAAAATGTTCACTGACTCATTCCCAGACAGGAGCGTGCCTGTGGACAGAGTTTAGCAGGGTGAGATGGGGGTATGATCAGGCCCCTGGGGCCAGGGCACTGTGAAGGAATGAGCCAAAACTCACAGCATGGAGGGCTGGCAGGAGCTGCAGCTGAGGATATGGAGCGAGGGAGTCCACAAGGCCTGGGAGAATCTCCGGAGAAGAGTTGTTCAACAGAGGACACGGCAGAGGGAAAAAACAAAAAACAAAACAAAAAAAACCACAGCCACAGGTAGAGCCTTCTTGCATGTGGGAGAGACCCCAAAGAGAGTTTGAACGGTCATAGGGGTAAGGGTAGGCTAGTACATAGCAAAGAATGGACTATGGGATTTTTTTGTCTGGATTATGGTGATTGGGGTGTTGAGCACCCACTCATGAGTAAAAGGGACATTACTAGAGCCTGACAAGAAGGCTGAGATGCTTTTCTTTGTTTTTTTTTTTTTTTTTGCTGTTTCTTTTGAGTTTCTTGAGCACAGGCCAACACCGGTCCCTGGAAGGGTGTACCCAAAAGAGGCCAAGGACACCCTGGGACAGGGGGCCAAAAATAAGGCCACAGTAGGCAGCACTGCAACCTAGCTGTGGAAGAATATTATGAACACCATCTGGAGAGGCTAGGTTGGGGTAAAGGGGAGGTTGTGGAGCCCCACAAAAGTAACAGGGATCAAGACCAGACAGGATCACCATGGGCAGTTCCTCCCGGGAATATATATGTCATCAAAGTCGTGGCAGGTGAGAAAACAAGAGATCCATTTCTTGGCAGACCAGGTGATCCAGAGCCAAGGTCCATCCTGTCGCCCCCTGTAGGGAGACGAGCTCAGCGCAGTGCTATAATACCCTATAATACCTACAGTCATGACAGGCACATTGCTACCATAGTTCTGGCAAGCCATCAGAGATACGGGAGCACTTGTCTGCATAGCATTATTGATTCAGTTCTCATCAAACAGTTGTTTACACATGGCTTGGAGCCTGAGTACCGGAGCACGATGAGCTCCTGCTGATCTCAAGGAGATATGGGCACATCTCTCCAGACTGAAACCTCAGCCCCTCTCAGGAACACATTCATAAAGCATATAATTTTCCTCTAAAATGGAAGTTTCACAGTAGACTCATGTTGTCTCTGTGGTATGGATTTGCCCCTCACCTTTACCATCTGGAGGCACAGGAATGTCACTCCATTCAGGCTCCTCCACGCTGTCGTAATCCTGCTGTAAATCCCCACGGGAAGTTTCCTCTGCAAGAATAAACACCACCCTCAGCTTCCTTTGGTCTTGTCCATTTCTTCAGAATGCTCCGAGTTCCCAGGAAACCCTGCTGCCCTGGACCTATGGCTCTCTGCAGTGGAGTGCAAGGAACCTCTCAGAGTGGTCTGGGTGGAAAGGGAAAGGTCATGGGCACTGGTAAAAAAGGACTTAGTCCAGCTTCAGTTCTTCCTGAATAACTAAGGATACAGCCCTGCCCAAGTGCACCCCGTATTGTTGGGATCATGTGTTTTATTACAGCCAGGATCTCTGCAGGATCTCATGCAGACTGGAATGTAACTTGGTCTCTATGCTCACGGCAGGGTAGCAGGGGAGAAAAATTTTAGCAATTGATCTGGATTTGCTCAGTGATAGACTTTTCAATGCTCAGCACATTATTTCTTGTGCCATTCCCAGCCCGTTACTCACACACAACGAGTGTCTGGATCTGACTACCTATTCCTATCAAGAGGTTATCACAGAAAACTTTGAATGCTTTATTAAATATGACCCAGTTCTACCGTCCCACGTTTGTACTGGACCATGACCTGGAGGACATCCCCAGGAAACGGATTCTCCCCCTAGCTATGGGGCTCCATCTCTGGGCTCTTCTTTGCCCTGTTACCTTGTGCTGATCCAGGATCATTTCCATCCTCGCTGTCCCCAGTGTAATACTGCAGCTTCATCACAGAGTCCTCTGAGTAGGAGACTGGAAGATGAGAGACAGTTTGGTATCCACCTGGGGAGGAGGGAGCCCACAAAGGAGAGCAGAGCAGTGGCTTCAGTGGGAAAAGGATTCAGATGCCCTTTGACACAATGATCCTAGCAATGACCTTTCCTGACCCATACAGAGGTCTGCTTCCAGGCTGCAGCATGGGCAGGGGAAGAGGAACACTGTATAGAGTGGGGACAATCGGAGTGTCTGCTGAGAAGGAAACTCATTTCCAGAACTCCTGTAACAGGTTGTTCTTACCCCAGACCCAGTATGCACAGCCTTGTACAGGATTGCAAAGATTTGGGTCAGCATGGGAAGTGCCTTAGGTCTTTGTTATACATTAGTGTTAGGTGGCTAAGGAGCTTTTAACCTCCAGACTGTCTACATATTAAAACACATAAACGACTTGTAATCACCCTTAGGTACCTTTAATTTATGCCACTACAGGGCAGGTTAATCCCTGATACGTGTTACCCAGTTTGTGTTTCCTGAATGTGAGGACATTACCCAGAGATAAGCCACCCAAGTTGCACACTCCAGCATCCCAGGATGCAGATTTCCCTCCCCATTCTATGTAGAAAACTTTCCACTCCCTCAACTATCCTGCCCAAGGCATGGTACTGGCACCAAGCCAGCTCTTTGTCCAGCACCTGGGAACATTACGTGGCCAGGCAGGTTGCAGGGCACAGGCTAGTTTAGGAGGGAGAGCTACGGGGTGTGCAGTGGGGAGCAAGGTAGGGGGCCACATCCAGGTCCCATAAAATGGGGCTTCCCTCCTGGGGCCAGCTCCCTGTGAGGTAGGGCTACCCAATCCCAAAGCAAATCCCAATTCATTTATGCCTGAGACTTTATTTAATTTACTTACTCTTTATTTATTTTTAAATTCTTCTTTTTTCTTGTATTTCTCCTTTTAGAGGCTTCAGTGGCTGGGTGACTTCTTTTTATCATCCAGCCCCAAGCCACCATTCCC